CCAAGCTAGGATGGTGGCTTCTTACATACATACATACATGATCCATCCGCGGTTTTTTTCTAAACCACTCAAAGACGTCTTATCAGAATGAATTTGAAGTTGTGACTAGAATATGGACTCTGGAGAATACGGGATGGCCCACTGGAAGATTCGGAACATCCGTAAAAGTGGTGAATTCATGAAACTGATCCTAGAGCTCCACGGTTTTTTCGAAACCACTGATGGACGTCTTATCAATTTGAATTTGGAGTGGTGACCATGAATTGGCCACTTTTACGGATTTTCCGAGTCTTCCTGAGGATCAGACTCGTGACTTTCCGGATGCTAAATGTTCCCAAAAGGTGGAAATTTTTCTGTTTAATAACTTTTCAGAAGACGTCAGGAAGCTATCTCTTCAAATTACCCTACAATAAGCGTTTGTCCCCAATTAGCTCTAATCCCATATGCTACGTGTATTAGTTAATTCCGGTTCCTAGGGACCGCACCTATTAACCGTACTATAGGAATCTTGACTGTACATCTATAAGCGTTCCCCATTCTAATCAAAATCCTAGTACTACACTATGTTTGTTTTGATTCGCTATGAAAATTTGACAAATAAACTGAGGGGTTTGTGGATTTTCCTATGTTTCGAGGGGTTGCATCGAATAGCTTGGGACTGAAGATAGTACCAGAGCTGAGCCAAAAAGTTGAGCACGTTTCTTCGGGACCTTCTAGTCTTAGAGTTACCTCTATGGTTAGACTGCCTTGATTATAAAAATTGCATTATAGAGCACATGTGTTTTAAAATTTCATCAAATTGACATGCTAATTCAATTACAGCTTTCCCCCGAAGAACGCGTTACCTACTGAGTTGCACCCACCCATACCTAAATTTCCACTTTAAATCAATTAAATGTCATATTTTTCGTGCCTATCCACGAGATATCTTTAATTAAACTCATGTTCCTGATGGTTACCTGCGTAGAAAATTTAGTTAGATTTCTTTTCTCACCCCATGGCATGAATTGCTATGAAACCAGGAAAGTTTTAAACTTGCCCTTTAATCCAGCTGCCACTTGCACGTTCCTACATGTACACATACCGTGTATACCCATACAGAGGAAAAGTTTGATACAACTTTTCATCTACCCACGAAACAGCCTGTTTCGAATTACATAACTTTTCGTTTCCGATTCCCTGCACTTTACAAATCGAACAAAAACTATGGGAACACTTTCCGGTTCTTTAAAATTGTTTTAAGTTGGAACAAGCTGTTACCAAACCATCGCCGTCTGCCTAGTGCCTACCAAAACCCGAGTTTGGCTAAATAAAAGAAACCTAGCTGATAGGTACCTACTCTCCCATTGCTGACATAAGGGAGGGAAAAAGTTTTTCGCTTGCCTGGAAAACCGGAGCCAGACGTTGTGTATCCGGATTTCAACTTTTTCATTTGTTTCACCACTGGCTGCAGCATCGGCTGCAGATATGGCAAGCCATCTTCTTCAAGTTTTGCTACGACCTTCTTGTTTTCGAAGCGAGCAGACGATAGAAAAGTTTAATCGAAAATATTTGACCAACTAAAGAGCGAAATTGAACAACGTTTAACCTTCTCTGAGAATTGCTTGTTTTATGGGTCGTAGTATTCTGAATGTGTTGAAATCATCGATTATAAAAAAAAATATTGTCGCCTTGAATGTTAGCATCGAATTAAAACAAATCAAACAGATACATATTTGATCTCATGCTTTACCAATCATACGAAAATAGGAGCACAATGGACATAAAATACACAAAAGCTGTCTTCTTTACTCTGCACATCCAAAACTCTTTCTCTCTCTCGTCGATATCAAACATCCAAACAAAACTCACAAATGTATACCTGCTTTAGCAAGGACCATGCAGTGAACATTGCACCGGAAATGGAAAAAGCAATCATGCGAGATGCCGAAATGTGTGGGGTAAAAGTTTTCAATTTAATTTCGTTTTATAACTCCAATCTTATCGAAGGAGCTGGAAGGCGTACGGCGTACCGTGATCGTTTGCCCTGCTTTCAGAATTCGACAATTCGTTTGCCAAAAGTATCAGACGGTAAGGTACCACTCCATATAATTGTTGCAAAGCGTTACGGAATCCAATTGTCCGGTATATTTGTCGTGTCGGACGTTGCTTTTGTTTTTATGCTGCTGAGCTGAGAGTTGGTTGTACGGACTGGATTGCCTCATCTCGGACAACTCGAACCGTTCGATAAACATTGCGCCCAAAATTCCTACCACATGTAGCATTGGCATGAAGCTGGCTGACCAACAATCAAGTCATTCCTTTCAATCCTGTTCAGCTGGTTTATTGCAGTGTGCAGTGGGTGGTGAAGATTAGCAAAGCAATTTAATTAAACTCAAACGATATGGAAAAGAAAGGAAATGGATGCGGTTAGTGTTGCTGTTCTGGTTTAAGTTGATAAATGACACCATTGTTGTTTTTTTTTCGAACGGAATTGTGCATATCTCCAAGCGATGTTTCAATCTTACAAAACAAATAACCGCACTAATTGTCCTGAAAATTGGAACGAATCCATTTGCGGTTGCATGTAGTCTACGTCTCACTGACAAACAACAGAAATTACGTGTTTATTTGATAGCCATTTCATGTTAACGAAATGTGTCTTAATCGATAATCCATCATCCAGCAGCAACACAAAAATCCTGAATTTCTAGATAGAGCTGGAATTAGGGCGTAGAGGAACGAAGTAGGCTGTGCCGGCGAACGGTCGTGTTTATTTTTGCTGTCAAGATTTTTTCTCGTGATTCCCCGTTCTGAAGTGCTTTTAATGAAGAACAATCCCCAGTTTAGTTTTCGTGAAGTGGATTTTAGTCTGAAATGTTAGTTTCTGCTAAATTGGAACGCCTTTGGATACGGTTGTTTGTTCTCTGTTTTGTGGTGCGTTCGCGTTCATAGTTTTCGGCTGCATTTGCCGGATTAGCGCTAGCGCTCTGCCTCCCGGACGTTTATAAGTGTGTGATTGGTAGTTTTCTCGCTTTCCGGGAAGTTTTAGAATAGAGAAAGAAAACGTGATTCAACATGTTTGCAAGCATCAGAAGAAATGTCGCAATCTGCGTTATTTGATTTTCTCCCGGACCAGAAATTAGTGGCATCGCGAGTGATAATTTTTAATTTCAGTTTATTTACGCGCTGCAAGCTGCGTGAAAGAGTTCGGCACAATCGGTGTTGATGTTGGCTCGCTGCTTGAAACTTTTTTTTGTGTGTTCGAAAGAAATTGATCGAAAGTGTACCAAAAGTGCTTCTGAACGTGTTTCGCAGTTGGGAGTGGTGAACTTCGTAAATTCACGGTTTATGTTCAGTGAAAATTCCGTATCACAAAATTGCTCAACGAGTTCCCTTTTTTTTGCCGTTTGACGACGACGGGCATGCGAGAGAAAAATAAGCATCGGGAATGTACTCCCGGATGTATTGATTTGGTGAGTTCGTTCCAGTTGAAGATTGTTCTTATACATATCTCGATTGCATTTTCGAGGGGACGTCCGGAGAGCCTTGAGATTTAGGCGTTGTTGCTTTTGCGGGCAGACGAGTTGGTCGCCGGTAAGGTCCAGTAAGTGCTGCCAGCAGATGAATCAAGAGGTATTCGAAACAAAATTGGTAAGAAATGTCCATTCAAATCGTTTTATTACAGTTAAACAAATTTCAAAACTATATACGTGCCAGATTTGGAAATAATATTTTTTTAATCTGGAAGTGTGTTTATGATACCATTATCCATTTGATAAAGGTAGAGTGAACATGCGGGGCTTATTGTAAGTAAAAGTGACCTCGGAGTGGTCGTGAATTACCAGGCATTCTGAAATGGGTCACTGGAGCTGCAATAGAGCTAACACCTTCTAACTCCCGGACTAAACCTGCTTTAATTGAAGGGTAATAAAAAGCAGTTTTCTTCCATAATAACACTGCCGGACAGTGGGGGTTAGATTGTACACACACACACACACACACAGAGCTGGAATTAGGGCGTAACAGCTTTTGTAAACAATGACTTCTTTCGACGTTTTCTCGCCCACGCAAATCAACAATACTATATGGTAGAAGAAGACTTCCCCTGCCTGACGGATGTGTTGGTTTGCGTGGGCGTGCCTTGAGTTCCTAGAAATCATCGATGTAAGTCTTTGTTTACAAAGGCTGTTACGCCCTAATTCCAGCTCTATCTAGATTTAAAAACCAATGGTGAGATCTGATCCTTCTAACCAGCGAATCCAAACACATAAAGCAACCAACGATCAGTGTTGTGAAAATCACTTGTATCACAAATATCACGCCCACGCAATATCAACACTGATTAACACTCATTTGATATTTTTAAATTCGCCACTCATTTGAGTTATTGACAACCCAAGCAATGCAACATTACAACTCAGCACTCACTTATTTTTGTTTTTTTTTCACTCTCAAAGAATTATACCCATGCACTTTCCATTCAATGAAACGAAATATACAAACGTTTCCTTTTGAGTACAATTCCTTTGAGTGGTATCACCAGTGTTGGTAAAATATCAACAAATCAAATCTCACCAACGCCCAATATCATGCTTGATTTTCATAGACAAAAATCAACAAGCAAACAACGGCGGTTGAATTTGCAAGCTGTGATATTGCAGCTCGGAATATCGAGCTAACAAAACTCACCAACTGCAAATCTCACCAAACTGTGGTGAGATTGAGTTTAATGATTTTTGCTTTACACCAGAATGCAACCGAAACTTCCATAACGGCTTGCAGCAATCCCTTCGCGTCTGCCATCAGTGAAGATTAAAAAGAGATAGCAAACTATGCTTTCTCTTTCTAAGAAAACGATGTGCAATTGGCGTTGACGACACCGTCGAAAAATCGTCTCTTCTAGAAAATATTGACAGTTTCTCATGGGATTTCTCGGTGGAGTGAAAGGATAGTACGAAGTCCGCTATATTTCAAGCACAGTCTGACGTTTGCTTATGGATTTTACATCTTCGTGGATTTTACATCAAATCCTGAATGCGCTGATCACTTAGTCTTTGTCTTTGGTCAGTCAAGACAAGCTTAAATCCGATAAATGCTCGTTCGACTGTGACCTGTGTCGATGGTGCTGATAAAATAGCAAAAGCCATCCTGAATACATCACGATGGTTCGTTCGCATCCCAATCCAGTACTTAAAGATATCAAATCGTTCTTCACTCGATGAAGCATCCAAACCTCCTACACGTATGCGCACTTTGGGTCTCAGCTGTAGCTCCTTAATTTGCTGCAAAATTTTGTCTTCGGCAGGCTGCATGCGTCCACCAGTTCCCGGAGAATCACGTTCGAAATATCTAACCAGATACTGCTCTACAAAATCACTCGCTTCGTCGTTCGGTTCAGTGAACATATTCTGTTGATCTTCATGTTTACCTTCCAGTGCATTGAGTCGTGTCCATAGTTGAAGCATGTAGCTCTAAATTGCAAAAAAATAAAGAGATGGGGAATAAAATATTATAATACATTACGTGATAAAGAAGAGAGAAAACTAGAGTAGATTTACTAGTCATAGCTATTCATTCTTATTATTGTATGTTCCAAATATGGCCTATGAAATTCCCCTTGGCCATAGCAAATATTGTCGCTAGGTTGAATACTGGAATAATCTTCTAGCGAAAATCTATTTTTCTCTTCTTTCTATACATTATAAAGTGTCGGAAGTAGTGCGCTGTAATCGCACAATGATGCGTTGTACAGCGCATTACTTCCGACGCTATGTATAACGTACCTACAATTGGAGTAAAATCTATATTCGCTAGTGGGTTAGTAGTGACAATAGCAATACACCATAATATGAACGTATAACCATGATTGATGCATCTACCCTACCAGTACATTGTTGAAATCTGTTAGGCTTACCTGAGAGCGTTCTTTATCGGTAGCCGTCGTTCTATTGGATCCCATATAATTAAACCGTAGATCTATGTAGAGACTTACTTTGAACTGAATCGTGTCCGTAAGCTTTTGCAACCTCTGTTCCAGAGCGTTTAGCAACTTTTTGGCCAAATAGTTAGATGCCAATGAATTGAGCTTTGCGTGACAAAACAACCATTCCGACAACGGTACATGTTGCCTTTGTAAACTTACAGTTAAAAAAAATTGGCTCCAAAGCACCACAGAACACATCAATGAACGCCCAGTGTTTTGAGAAATCTGAAATACAAAATGCAATGAAATAACAAAGAGAAATAGAAGCAATCTGTTTTAAAAACTAACTGAGTTCCTCGAAATCTTTTTGGAGCATTAGAAAGAATGATTTTCTTCGTTCCATCTTGTTGCTCCAGGAATAGGTGGAAGATGTGCTTTGTGAGTACAGAAAACTTCTCTATATTTACCCAGCCGAGTGTTCTTTCACAGTTTCTTAACGTTCTCAATTTGGCGGGAATGCTTTTCAAGGACATCAAATACAGCCAACTGGCAGGTGTGAGCAGGTGCACCGGGTGCCAGTAACGGACAAAATTTCCTCGTCGTCTTCATCAAAATCACATTGGGTACCGTCTGGCTCGTTTTGGTCTGTTTCGCCAACCTCCTCGTAAGCCTCTGGCTCGATTTCTTTTTGAGGTTCATCTTCTTCTTCCATATCAATTGCTGTTTCTTCGAGAGCGGCATCCGTTTCCACCAGGTCCACCAAACGATGACTGGACGAATTTCCGATTACCTCATCGAGGGCTGAGGTTTCCTTCTTCAGCAGACTTGCGATGCCTTCTTTGATATACTCGCGCAGATTTGTAACTGAAGCCACCATGTTTGTGCCGTTGTCATGGACAACTGTCAATATTTGTTCTTGCAGTATTCCAAATCGTTGAATATCCTCTTCAAAGATTGTTTGGCGAAGATTCTTCGCCGTCTGACTCTTTACCATTTCCTTGATTTCTGGAATAAAAATTAATATTATGATTGTGCCTCAAGTACGTATTAATTTTAACCTACCAAACGATCTAGTAACTATTTTTCCATCTTTGTAAAATGCCGCGTTCACGGCAAACGAATGATGGTTCCGTCTGGAGGCACTATCAATCTTTAGATGGAGTGGACAACCTTTCATCTTATCTGCGAGGAATTTCCTTCCTAGAGCGCTTCCTTTATCGACCATATCGGTCAAAGTATTTCTGTTCACTGACAGATTTGAAGCTTGCCACAATGGCCCAACCAAGGTTTTGAATCCCGTCCATTCAGGGTAGCTCAAAGGAAGTGAATGAGCACTTACCAGCGGCAACGTTCCGAGTAAATCGTTTGTTTGTGATGTTTCGACACTGATTTTTCCAGTTTCCTTCGCTTTGACGTAGGCTCCGTGTCCTTGTCATGAGCTGGCAGGCCGAGCAATTCCAACTTTTCCGGATGATTTGTTCGCACGTGTCGAACAAAATTACCATGAACCAATTTCCCTTTCTGAACATAGTCACAGTTCTGACACACCGGGATTTATTGTCCTCTGTCACTAAAATAGCCGCTGCGATTTTGGATCTCTGCGTTGTGCGTTGCTCCATTTTCACTTTTTTCCAAGTTAACACACACCCGTAGCACACTGGTTCTATAAAGTGTTGAGATGATCGCTGAAGCAACGCGATATGCAACCTAGTGGTACTTGACTGTGGCGACTGGGTTTGAGAAAAACTTTTGACGTAGAACTACGTCTTTGTCGACTATACTGGGGTGCAAGTCAAAAAATATGTGTGGTGAAGGAGTGTTAGGTTTTGAACGCTTGTAACTTTGTCATTTATAGATGAAATTAAAATCCAAATACGCCAATCGATAGGATATTACATTACGAACCTGTTGAAATAAATATTTTTCCAGTTTTTCTGTAATTAAACTTTTAAAAATGTACAAATGATAATTTTATCACTGATTTCATGAAATAAGCCTTTTTCCCAAACCCAGTCATCATAAACGAATACCACTTGGTTGCACATCATTCTGCTTGAACCTGAAAAGATATAAATCAGCGCTGCTCTCATGCCAATGCTCATAACTCATCCCAAACCCATTCCACCTCTCAGAGTCGAAAATGATGACGATCGGCTTTTAATCACCCCACAGGAGAAAGCAAATGCGATCGGCGAGCATGTCGCTTCATCGCATTTGCTTGGCTCGAATATCCAAAGTCCGCTCGAAGATCAGGTTGCGCAATGCGTTCAAAACCTAGATGCCTCCCCTTGTGTCGTGCCTCCGGCGGATATGATTACAGTACAACAAATTTGCTCAGCGCTGAAATGCACCAAGAACATGAAGGCTCCCGGGTTTGACGGTATATTCAACTTGATCTTGAAGAGACTCAGCATGAAAGTGCAGTCTCTTCTAACCGCTATCTTCAACAGATGTTTGGAACTGCACTACTTTCCAAGTATCTGGAAAGTAGCAAAAATCATACCAATCCGCAAACCCGGTAAGGATCCAACATTGCCTTCAAGCTACAGACCAATCAGCCTCCTTTCAGCGCTGAGCAAATTGTTCGAGAAACTCATTCTCAATCGTTTGCTCAAGTTTGTCGAGGAAAATAACATTCTCCTTCCGGAACAGTTTGGGTTCAGAAAGGGGCACTCCACCAATCATCAGCTAGTACGGGTGATGAATAACATCCGAAGTAACAAAGCTGTATCCAAGTCCACAGCCATGGCCTTGTTAGACGTTGAAAAGGCGTTTGACAATGTTTGGCATGACGGACTTGTGTACAAGCTTTGTAACTTCAACTTCCCATTACATCTGGTTAAAATCACCCGTAACTACCTTCAGCAAAGGTCGTTTAAGGTATCGTTGAATGGTTGTCTTTCCGACACGTTTTCCATCCCAGCAGGAGTGCCGCAAGGCAGTCTACTGGGCCCGTTGCTTTACAGCATTTATACTTCCGACATTCCTCCCCTTGGAGACGGTTGCGTGTTCTTCCTGTTCGCAGATGATACCGCAATAGCCGTCAAAGGAAGGATGCCTCGCGAAATAACGAACAAACTTCAACGATGCCTTAACGCCTTTGCTGATTATGCCACCACGTGGAAAATTAAAATCAATCCCTCCAAAACACAAGCGATCATGTTCCTACATCGGCAATCGCCCAAACTGAAACCGGCTCCATCTTGTACTGTAATCATGGATGGCACAAGGGTTGAGTGGTCCGCCGAAGTAACCTATCTCGGGATGTTGATCGATGAAAAGCTCCTCTTCCGTTCGCATGTAGAGAAAACTGTAGTCAAGTGTTCTACCTTGGTTAGGTGTCTGTATCCGCTGATTTGCCGCAGATCCCGCCTCTCAAGGGTGAACAAACTGGCCGTCTACAAACAAATCATAGCACCTGCGATCCTCTACGCAGCTCCGGTGTGGGAATCATGTGCACAGACTCACAGGAACAAAATTCAGGTCGCTCAGAATAGAGTGCTGAGGATGGTTCTTGATCGTCCTTTCGACACTAGAATAACAAATTTACATGAAGAGGCAGGCATTGCCAAAATAGATTCCAAAATTAACGAAATTAAGACTAAATTTGCACAAAAATGTAATTTATCAGAACATGCTTTGATAAGCAATTTGTATATAGTAGGTTAGGTGTATATAGTAGTTGTAGGTTAGTTGTAGTTTTAAATAGTAGTTATAAGTAGACTCCTTTTTCCAATTCAAATCATACCAATCCCACCAAGGTGGTCATTCTCTAAAACAGGCCTGATAGGACTAGGAACTGTAATTAATAATTAAAATCTCACTGTACTAAAGTTGAAAAGACGCATCTGTGTCACTTGAAAAATTCATACATGTAAACCGCACAAACACAAGAAATAAAGATCATTTAACTGGTAAAAAAAAAAAAAAAACTGCCAATGCTCATTAACGCTTCGGACGGCGTGGCGCTTGGTCCTGCAGCAAGCAGGACCAAATCAGCGGCTTAAGGTGGATCACGGCGTGACCACAATGAGGAAAAGCACACACGCCCTTCACAACAATCTCTCGGCCCCCCCTCAACAACCACTCCTACCCCCCCCCACCATCAAACCTCTCCTACCCCTCTCCCCACCATCAAACCCCTCCTACCCTCCCCCTCAAATACCTCTCCTAAACCCCCCCCCCCTCAAATACCTCTCCTACCCCCCCCCCCTCAAATACCTCTCCTACCCCCCCCTCAAATACCACTCCTAAAACCCCCCTCAACAATAACCCGAAAACGAGACAGACTTTGACGATCCCTTTTTTCCGGGAAATAAATTTTAAACAAACCACAATCATTAGTAAAACCAAGTTTTACCAAATTTGAACAAAAAATTGCTTTGAAGACATGTTTGATGACATTCAGTTGGTGAATTACACATAACTGACGGTAAAACTTTTTTTTTTTTGACTTAAAATGATCTTTATTTCTTGTGTTTGTGTGGTTTACATTGATGAATTTTTCAAGTGACACAGATGCGTCTTTTCAACTTTAGTTCATTTGAGATTTTAATTATTATTTACAGTTACTAGTCCTATCAGGCCTATTTTAAAGTATGACCACCTTGGTGGGATTGGTTTGATTTGAATTGGAAAAAAGGAGACTACTTATAACTACTATTTACAACTACAACTAACCTACAACTACTATATACACCTAACCTACTATATACAAATTGCTTATCAAAGCATGTTCTGATAAATTACATTTTTCTGCAAATTTAGTCTTAATTTCGTTAATTCTTGAATCTATTTTGGCAATTCCTGCCTCTTCGTGTAAATTTGTTATTCTAGTGTCGACAGGACGATCAAGAACCATCCTCAGCACTCTATTCTGTGCGACCTGAATTTTGTTCCTGTGAGTCTGTGCACATGATTCCCACACCGGAGCTGCGTAGAGGATCGCAGGAGCTATGATTTGTTTGTAGACGGCCAGTTTGTTCACCCTTGAGAGGCGGGATCTGCGGCAAATCAGCGGATACAGACACCTAACCAAGGCAGAACACTTGACTACTGTTTTCTCTACATGCGAACGGAAGAGGAGCTTTTCATCAAACAACATCCCAGATAGGTTATCTTCGGCGGACCACTCAACCCTTGTGCCATCCATGAGTACAGTACAAGAAGGAGCCGGTTTTAGTTTGGGCGATTGCCGATGGAGGAACATGATCGCTTGTGTTTTGGAGGCATTGATTTTGATTTTCCACGTGGTGGCATAATCAGCAAAGGCGTTAAGGCATCGTTGAAGTTTGTTCGTTATTTCGCGAGGCATCCTTCCTTTGACGGCTATTGCGGTATCATCTGCGAACAGGAAAAACACGCAACCGTCTCCAAGGGGAGGAATGTCGGAAGTGTAAATGCTGTAAAGCAAGGGGCCCAGCAGACTGCTTGCGGGACTCCTGCTGGGATGGAAAACGTGTCGGAAAGACAACCATTCAACGATACCTTAAACGACCTTTGCTGGAGGTAGTTACGGGTGATTTTAATAAGATGTAAAGGAAAGTTGAAGTTACAAAGCTTGTACACAAGTCCATCATGCCAAACATTGTCAAACGCCTTTTCAACGTCTAACAAGGCCATGGGCTGTGGACTTGGATACAGCTTTGTTACTTCGGATGTTATTCATCACCCGTACTAGCTGGTGATTGGTGGAGTGCCCCTTTCTGAACCCAAACTGTTCCGGAAGGAGAATGTTATTTTCCTCGACAAACTTGAGGCAAACGATTGAGAATGAGTTTTTCAAACAATTTGCTCAGCGCTGAAAGGAGGCTGATTGGTCTGTAGCTTGAAGACAATGTTGGATCCTTACCGGGTTTGCGGATGGTATGATTTTTG